GGAGCTGCGCTTCGAACCCATCCTGGGTCTGCAAGCCGCCGAGCGGATGCCCGGGCGCTGCTTGTTGGCTTTGGGCTCCTCGGCAGATGCCACCTGTCCGATGAGGGCCCTCTACACCTTTCACGCAGAGATCGCCCGAGTTGGCTGTCCGGTCCTGCATCCAGGCATTACCAGTCTTGGGCTACAGGCATCTGCCAAGTACTGTATGAGATTATTGACCGAGTGGTGGCAGCAGTTTCATAGATCATGCTTCCATGCTTCCTGATACATGTGACTAAAGGCAGCATCTATAAAATGACGCACAGCCTTCGCTTTGTACACCGAGGTTTTGTGCTCGCAGCGAAGCTCTTGGGAAGCCAGTGCTTGGCATCGCTGCGGTGCAGCGCAACCGTCGACCCCGTGATCCTGACCCAGGTCCATCAAGCGATGATTGGAAAGTTGCGGAAAGCCTGTATGATCTGTATGCAACGAAGAAGTAATAAGAAGTGTACAGTGGAGCCTCTTCTGCCACACGCCACAGGAGTCTGCCAGGGTGATCTGGCTGTCGCTGCGAAGGCCGGTGCTTCTGAAGACTGGCCGAGCATGCAAGCTCCCTTCAAGCCAACCATTTTAGTACCCGGGACAGGTGGGATGTGTTCAGGCAGGAGTAGCTGCTGGCCATGTCATTTTCAAAGTCTCCTCTGATCCATCGCCAAACTTAAGCGCCCGCAAGTGGTGTCTCGTACATCTCGTCGGTAACATTCGCTGCAAACGCCAAGCAAGCCCCGTCTCTCCACTCCAGTGTGACGTGCTTTCCGGCCACACGCCCCAAGACTCGGCCCTTTGCTTTTCCAGGAGTCTCTGTTGAGCAGCTGCTCGGCCAATCAAGAGGACAGGGCCACTATGCAGAGCAAGGGATACGGCACCGTAGAGATCGATTGCATGCATGGGCCTCGTTTGATTTGATTCATGAGCCATGTCAATCGCAGATGCCTGCGCCGGAACTTGGACCGAAACTTTTTCGCAGCATGATGCTCAAGAATGGAAGGAAGCCAGACACCCGAGGAGGTGACCTTTGCTGATCCCTACGGCACACACGAGCTTTCCTACAGACACGAGCAGCTTCTTGCTGCACTTCCCCCAGTAGAACCACCAGATTCACGAGCTCGGGCTCGTACGAACATTGGCCAAAGACAGCGGCAGAGGATCGCGCGAGCCAAAGCCAGAGCTGCACCGGACATTGACATGTCTGTTCAATCTGTTCAATTGCAGGACTTGAATCAGCCATTGTCTCAAGACCAATCACGTGGTGTGTCGTTCTTGTCCAACATGACTCCCTTTGATGCACTCCGAGCTGACATGCAAACCGGTAGCATGGAAGCAGACTGCTGGGATTGGCTCAAAAAGCGAGGCTACACTCCAGTCACCGGGCACGGGGAGGAAAGAGACGTCACCCACCACTATTCCATGCCAATGACACCGTCGACGTTGACATGGCTGAACAACACCATAACGGCATGCTTTGGTGATGAAAGTTCCTGGGATGGGCAGGGCGAATTTTCCAAGACACGCTGGGATGTGAGAACTGGAAGGCACAGCCGGAAAATGCATTCTGGCGAGACCGTCCTCTGCACAGGAGCATCAGCAAGTTGGGTGGCAATTTCGGTGAAGGTTTCAAGCGGGTCGCAGCAGATGGTAGACCTCTCGGCTAACGAGGTCAGAGACCGGATCCGTGGCATTGGGCCTTTGTATGAGAGGTATGCTGATGAATTTGAGCGCCACTCGATATCTCTACGCACAGCGGTGCAATTGCAGCATGATGATTTGCAATACACCCTGGGGGTCCGCGATCGAGCCCACAGGATTCGGATCATGGAAGAGCTGAACAAGCTCCGTCCGCAAGAAACCCTTTACGATGTGACTCTGGTTCAGATGACGCTGGCCTTGAACATGGGCTGGAGGCATCGCCTTTGGCTGGGGACACTGTCTCCTCCACCACGCGAGGGGCAGCTAAGTCATCGCTTGAAAGTCATCCTGAAACAATGGCTTTCGGAGGCTGCAGCCGAGCCGGCATGTCATATTGCCAGTGACACCACCCAATAGGTGCGCAACATGCACGCATTCCTTCTTCATCGGCGCGCCTATGCCAAGGCAATTCGGTTGTGCCCTCATGGCTGTTTTGGCATGCTGGTGCCCCTTCCTTGTCGGATCTCCGGATCCTGGTGAGCTGGAAGTGCCTATGCCAAGGCAATTCGGTTTTGCACTCATGGCTGTTTTGGCATGCTGGTGCCCCTTCCTTGTCGGATCTCCGGATCCTGGTGAGCTGGAAGTGCCTATGCCAAGGCAATTTTGTTGTGCACTCATGGCTGCTTCCTTGTCGGATCTCCGGATCCTGGTGAGTTGGCAGTGCCTTGCCAAGGCAATTCGGTTGTGCACTCATGGCTGTTTTGGCATGCTGGTGCCCCTTCCTTGTCGGATCTCCGGATCCTGGTGAGCTGGAAGTGCCTATGCCAAGGCAATTTTGTTGTGCACTCATGGCTGTTTTGGCATGCTGGTGCCCCTTCCTTGTCGGATCTCCGGATCCTGGTGAGTTGGCAGTGCCTTGCCAAGGCAATCTTGTTGTGCACTCATGGCTGTTTTGGCATGCTGGTGCCCCTTCCTTGTCGGATCTCCGGATCCCACACTTGCATGGCTCCTAATCTAATGATGCAATCTGGCCTCAAAGTAGCCCCGACCTGGCCTGCGTGTGGCGGGCAGATGTCCCAGTGGCTGGATGAAAGCCTTCAGCCGAACCTGGACAATCGTGAAACGCGCGAATGGCCACGAAGATTAGCACGAGTCTTCCTGGCTATAGCGAACCTCAGAAAGTTGGAATTGGGATGCATTCCCTGTACTTTAAGGGCATGAGGATAATGATGTTCCAACTTTCTGGCTTTTGCTATAGCTGTCTGTGCTTGGCAGGTGAGATCTCCGATGATCAGGTTGAGGCACTGAAGGCCTTGGAATGCCTTGGAAGAAGCCGTAAGGGTTTGGGGTTTACGGTTTAGGGTTTAGGGTGAGATCAATGTAGAACAGACACACGGCATGCAAGCTGTTGAACTTCCTCTGGAGGGTGCTGCTTCAACCACGAAGGTCATGCTGATGTCTAGACTTGTGACCTTCAGACCCTGTAAATACTGAGACCACCACCAAACAATTGATTAGTGATTTCCTTGCGGTTGCTATTTTGCTTGCTAATTGCTTGCTAATTTCTCGCATAGTTTGCTACAGCTCTCCCAAACTTCTCTCTAAATTCTCCCAAACATTCTCGCAAAGATCTCGCTAATCAATTCTCTTTTCGAGTTCCCAGCATTTACATTCCAAAGATGGTCGTAAGTCTAGACGGACCTGCAACTCCACTTTGTGTGGCTCCAGTTTTGTTGGCCCTGGGCCTGTAATTCGACGCCTGCAAAATGCGGATGGACATCCGATTGCTGCAATGACTTCCTGAAGCTGGTTGCCGCCATCGGCAAAAGGGGGGTTTTCTAAACTTGGTAGGACTGCTTGCTGCACAGTCGTTCAAGAGCTTTGCAGGCAAGCTCTGAAGGGAGTGCTCCATGTTTTCTATGAAGCCCACGCACCAGGATGCAGTCGCCCTGACTGTCTGCGCCACCGTTGGTGACAAGGACCCTTTGAGCTGAGATTTGCTGGGCTGTCGCGGGGGCAAAAAGCCTGCAGTCGATATGCAGCTGGCTTGCACGAGCAGGAGTAGAGATTCGTAGAGAGCTCAAGCAGGCATGTGTTGTTTTTGGTCTGGTCTCGCTGCATCTTCAACTGCGCTGCAGGCCTTCCACGCCAGACTTCAGAATCCTCCGGGGCCATAGCCAGGACAGGACCCTGCGCGTTCAGGTTCCTAGAAGGGCTCCATTAAGGGCTCCTTCCAGGGGTTCCTTTGAGGGCTGTGTCGACCCCTATAATACCCTGTAAAGGGGACCCTATTATAGAACCCGAAAGTACCCTTTAAAGGCGAGCCTTCGGGTAGCTCTTTGTTTTCGGGCCTGGCTTTCCGGCAGGTTGGGCACGGGAGTTTTGGTGAGCTCAGGGCTGGGGAGCGGTACTGTTGATGATGGTATAAATCCTGCATTGTTTCAAGGACTCTTGCCTATGGGAATTATGGTATATTCTTTGCTATGGGCAATGCAGGGTTTATGCCATCAACCGTAGTATCTCAGGGCTCAGCTTTGGCCTCGGTGCTTAGAAGCTTTGTGCCGAAAGGCAGAAGCCCAGAGCCACCATCGCACCCTAAACACAAACCCTAAACCCAGTGAGCAGAGACCACGCAGGACCCCGCAACAGACTCGGATGTCCGAGCTCTAGGAATCCTTAGAAACTCACTCGCGAAATGCAGGCTTCATCTATGAATCTATGTTTCACTGCCCGTCAGTGTGAGACACGCAATGCCGTGTCCTGGACTACCGTTGCTTTCGCATCCCATCAGATTTCACAGCTATTGCACATTTGCTTCGAAAGGAAGCAGCAAGCAAGGTCCACGAACTCATGATCGTCTGTAAGAGCCGCCTTCAGGCCTAAACGCAAGCCCGAAATCGTGGACTGCAAGGTGCGATCTACCCTTTTTCTGCCCAAGAGTCGGCTATGAAATTTGAAAGGTCGGCTTGGCAACAAGCGATGGTTCGTTGAAATCGCGTGGACCGAACTGCTGTGCGAAAATGCGAGCTGCGGTATGCGATGCGTGGCTCCTCACTTGCTTATTCCTGGTGCACTGCCCTTTGCACGGACGACGCGTCTGGGTGTGAGCCAACAGTTATGCAAAACTCTTCCGTGGTGCTTGAAAAGTGTTGAAAGAACTCCGATATTAAGTACGCATGCAATGCATTGCAGAACGTTTGCCAAAACCGCCATCCGTTTCCCAAGTTCATGAGCATTTCTACCTGGAAGCCTCGTCGCCATTTCGGCTCATGAAGCTTTTGCTTACAGCATGCTGAAAGAAGCCTTGCGCTAGCGAGCGCCCCGCGGACCCTGGCATGCCGAAGGTATCCGCTGGAGCAATATGGACAGCTTGGTGAAAGGGTTTGCTGTAGGGGCCTGAATAATTAGAATAGGGTTTTGGGCTCATTTATAGTATAAAGACTTATAAAGATAATACGGAACCCTCAGGAATGATGGTAGTAATGTTTTATGCTTCTATAGTAGGGTTTGGCGGATCGGCTTGTGTGGGACACGCAGAAGGTCCTTTTTTCTCAGTCAGGACGGTGTACCTCGTCGTGCTCATGGACATGGTAAACTTCGGCGGCTCGACAAGAAAAGCATGTGAAGCTTCAGCTTTCGGCGCAAGTCTCTGGCCGCTCCCGTGAGTAACAACGGTTTAGGGTTTATAGGGTTAGGGTTTTAGGGTATAGGATAGTAAAATGATGTGTTTGTTGTATGTCTCGCCTGAGTCAGGCATCGTGTTCCCGCTTCTGCCAGCGATAGCAGAGCATTTTGGTGCTGATGCAACACAAGCAACTTGGACGATGATTCAATGGTTGGTGTCGCATTTTCTGAAGGCACGCTGCAGCCCTAAACCCTAAACCCTAAACCCTAAAGCCCAGAGCATCCTCAGTCCTGCAGCCCAGACCGGAAACTAAAACGTCGAGGGTGAGCGTCTGAAACTCAAGACCTAGGTGGGCAGTTTAGCTACCGCCTTCTCGGTGGCTCAGGCGAGGTGTGTCGCGACTCATGCAGCCAATCCATGAAGCATGCCTGCGGATGGCAGTAGATCAGCTGTGAGGGACAGTTTGCAGACCCTAACACAGCAGCATTTTCACAAGGACCCCTACAAAAAGGGGCCCATACCCATAATGCCATAATGTAGAGCCCTTCTTCATAGACCGCAGACCCTGTTTCTAAAGACCCAATGCCCAAAACCCTTAACACCAAGGGAAGCTGTTCTGCTTGTCTCCAGGTTGCCTTTACACCCCTCTTGGGCCGGGCATCCGACAGATATGGACGCCGCCCCGTGCTCTTGATTGCAGTCTTCGGAACGATGGTGCCCCTCGACTTTAGGGTTTAGGGTTCAGGGTTTAGGGTTCCGGGTTCAGGGTTTAGACTTTAGGGCCTAACTTTCGGGCTTAGGGCTCAGGGTTTGCTTGGGGTCTCAGGGCCTCATGCGAATGAAAGATGACATGCAAGACACATCATTCACGGTCTTTGACTTTGGTAACTCTGTGAGTTTATGGCAGCCACTGTGGCACCCTGCAGTGGAGTATGCAACAACACCTATGGTAATTTTTCTCGTCTGCTGTACTTTTGTATATCCCAAGTTTAGGCAATCGTGGACTGCTACCTATCGTGGTGTAGGAGTCAAACGCTTTCTGCACAGCTGAGCCTTGCAACTGAGGTCGACTGCGATGACAGGCTTTGCATGGAGCTTTCCGATGATCGTGCCTTGTCAGAGGGTGGTGGGACAGATTCACTTTCCCAGCCTCTCCGGATCCCTCCGGCTTAGTGGTACCGATCCCGAAAACCCCAAAGTCCCCAAACCGGGGGATCCCATACCTAAAGGGCCTTCGATTCAGACTCTGGTCCTGGGAGGTAGCAGCCCGCGCCATCAACGGTGCCAGCGGAGGCCTAGCTTACGGCCAAGGGTCTTGGGCTGATGGCCGAGGGAGAATTGAAGGTCTTGTTGGTTCAGAAACAATGTGCTGTTTCTGGAGACTATACTATTGCATGTGAGAGACAGCATCGCTCGAGATAGATTTGTAGGCTGGCAGACAAAGATCCAACATAACCCTAAGCCCTGAACCTTCTACCATGACTGTAAAACACGAAGCCCCACACCCGAAGAGTCATTCCAAATACTGAACCTGTCTGACGCACCCCGAAGTGTGTGTAAAGCTGTCTGATGTCACCAGGGAAGGTGTCTCTGGCGAGAGTCTATGTATGGGATTCCGGGATTCCACGGTGGTGCTGCCGGTATGGATTGACGGATGTGTAGGAACCCGAAGCTCTAAACCCCATTCTCCACGCTAGACGAACCTAAACCTAACAGCTAAGCCCTGTAAACCATAGTCCGAAGCCCCAAGCCCTGAATCCAACGACTGTCCACACCCTGGTTCAGCCAATCTGGCATTTAAAGTGGTACCGCGGCAACTGGGCCGAAAAGACTTGATCCAAAGAGCAAAATACCCCTAAACCCTAAACCCAAAAACCCCAAATCTGACTGTGGTGCTTGTGGCATCCTGCAGTTCGCCTTCGGGCGTTCACGCTCGAGGGACTTAAGACTTAGTCAGCAGGCTTTAGGCACAGTCATAAGTCTGATAAGCCTCCGAAGAGCACTTAGAGCTCTACCTAGAACCTCCTCAGTAACCCCGCCCCGGATCCTTAAAGTTGTGGACCCTTCGGATTGAAGGCACTGTCGGCATTGCAAATGCCTATATCGCCGATGCCACAACGAGTGAGGCCAGGTGCTTGTTGCAAATGCTCCAGCTGCAGGTACATAGAAGCCTGACAAGAGCCCAACGTCTTCGTTCCGCGTCATGATTCAAGGTCTTAGCAATTCAACATAGGTTTGGGGGAGTAAATTATATTATGTTTATATAGCGAGTTTAGGTGGATAGTCAGCCATGGTCGGACGATTTCCGGACATAATGTAGCTCAGTGGCTCTATGTCAGCCTGGATGTGCAAACCGAGCGTCACGCCATTTCCAGGAGAAGAGCGTGTACATCTCCTACTTGTGCCTCTTCTCGACTTTGTATCGGAGACTCCATGCCTGTCTGTGTTGGGTTCTTGATCATGTTGGAGTTTGCGTGCCAAGCAGAGTACAGGGCATTCTCACGTAGCATGGTTGACACGGGGCTCTGACCCCGAAACATATGCTTCGTTAAAGGGATCTTTAGAACTCGACAGATTCCTGCGCCAGGCAGGCTTGCAATTCCATCGGGATCATTGTTGGCCCCGCCCTTGGAGGCCAGGGGAGAGTGATTGAGACAGGCGAAGTATCTCCAAGCTGTGCCCTTATCCGGAGCCCGAAATTCCAAGCCCCCTTACCCTCCTTCAAGGCCACCATCAACCCGAAACCCGAAGCCCCAAAGCCACCACTCCGAAATCCTAAATGCCCGAAAGGGGCTTCAAGTGCGGCGAGGCATATCTAAATCCCGAAACCCTCCACTCGAAACCCTGAAGCCCGAAAGCGGGCCTAGCCTCCAACCATAAACCCGAAACCCTAAACCCTAAACCCCAGACCCAAAACCCTAAGCGGTCTCAGTGCGGCGAGGCGTACTCAGCCACCTGGGCTTTTCCGTGGCCTGCTATGTCTCAGCCGGCCTGTCCGGGCTTAACCTTGTGAGCTTTGACTGACATGGGCAAAAGGGTTCCTAAGAAACTTTAATAGAAATAGTAACAACAATGATAAAGATTAGTAATAATAATGATAATTCATGGTAATATTCAAGGAGCATTCCTAGATGATGAAGAACATCCCTGACAGACAGACTTCTATAAGGATTCTATCCCTAAACCCTAAACCCTAAACCCTAAACCCTAAACCCTGACAGACAGACTTCTATAAGGATTCTATAGGGGTGGAGGGTTGCAGCAGAAGCCGGTTTCGGCTCGTGATTTGGATCCTTTCGACAGATCGCACATCGTAGCGACTGGAGGTTTGGGTTTAGGGTTTGGGGTTTAGGGTTTAGGGTTTGGGGTTTAGGGTTTAGGCTTTAGGGCTTCGATCTACCCAAACTCATAGACCCCCGAAGCCCCAAACCCCCTAGACCCTAAACCCTTGACCAGCGGACCTCGGCTCAGGATCGGAATTATCTTTCTGACTGAGGCCAAGCCCCGTGGAAACCAGGCGCGGCCCAGCCTACATAGTAGGTTTATCTTGTAGGTATAGCAGATTTAGTAGTTTTAGTAGATGTAGATATTCTAGATATGGCCTTCATGTCAGCAGCAGCGGTTAAAAAAGCGTGGTTGAGCCAGTTCAATGCTATGCCTACTGCGCCGCATGCTTGCTGAACGTTTTCTCCGTGTGTACAATGTTTTAAGCTCGCTGTTTTTGAACCCTAAACCCTAAACCCTAAACCTCTACTTGGGTTATAACGGGATAAGAGTCGTACTCGAGTTGGGAAATCTGTGGCCTTTTCAGACCCCAAACAACCACATCCGCCCAGTAGGCGCTTTGGGTTTGGGGGTTTGAGTATTTTGTTGCCTCAAGTGTCCAGGGCTGCTTGTAGGGCTTTGGGTTTAAGGTGAAGCCTAAACTCTAAAACCCTAAAAGCCTTAAGCCCTAAAGCCCTAAACGCTAAGCCGCTTTGCCGAACTACAAAACCTGTAAACTGTAAACCCTATAATCCCTTCCCCTTTTATCAAACACCCCAGCAGAATAATAAAAGCACATTGGGGCTAATCCTCCCCTAAACCCTAAACCCTAAACCCTAAACCCTAAACCCCTGGGAGGCCCGAGAAGCAGTTGCCTCCTTGACAGCTGCAGAGGGCGGCACGGCACGAGACGAAGAAGGCACGGCAGGGCCGGGCCCAGGTCAAGGAAGATTTTTTTTCGTTGAGGGGGTTTAGGGCTTTAGGGTGCAGGGTTTTAGGATGTTAGGGTTTAGGGTGTAGGGGTTTAGGGTTTTAGGGTTTAGGGTGTAGGGTTTTAGGGTTTTAGGGTTTAGAGTTTCAGGGTTTTAGGGTTCAGGGCTTTAGGGTTTTAGGGTTTAGGGTACCCTAAAACATGAAGCCCTCAAAACCCACCTGGCCCACCTACGGCCTCAAACCTTCAAGCCCCAAGCCCGCAAACCTCCAACCCTCAACAAACGCTTGTAATCGGTAGATGGTGGCCTAGTCCTCATGTTTGAAGAGGCAGAAGTCCTGACAAACCTAAACCTTAGACCCCAAGTTGGCTGCGCGGAAGTTTCTTCTTGGAAGGCAAACCCTAAACTCCAAACCCCAACCCGAAACATATATATATATATATATATATTTTCATTTCATTTCGAGGCGTTCAGGGGAGTACGCGTCTCTAATTACGTGCCAAACCCCGCAGCGCCCAAAATGGTGCAGCTAGGGGGTGGTCCCAGAAACACTCCTTGGCATCGGTCGCCCCAACTGGTCCCTCTAGGGCTCGCTGCCATGCTGTACGGAGCTGTAACGGGACAAAACTGAGCGGTTCCGTAGCCACGGCGGGATATTCCCCAATGTCACTGTACACCGGCTTTCCCGCTTCCCAGTCAATGTACAGTCTGCTCGACATTGGTTCTCGGGTCCCGTTGCTACGCCAACTCTCACTAATGGCTTTCGCCCAGTCAATCTTTCCCACAGCGGCCTCGAACTCGAGCAGCGATAAGTGTTCCTCGCCGTCCATCGTGGGCCCCTGGTAGTCCGGCCGGATGATCGCTTCGTCCAGCGCCTTCGAAACTCGATCGACTGAGTCCTGGGGCCAAAGGAAATCGACCCCTGCCGCTGAAAGCAGACGGATCTCTGCCTGGATGCAGCCACAAGTGTCTGCCTCCTCACCCTGGTACAGGGGGTACTTTTCGAGGATCGCTACAACCGCTGCCACCACCGTAGATGTAGTGGGCCACATCTCCTTCTCGAAGAGTTCGTAGCAGATCTCTTGTCCCTGTGTCCGCCATGAAGGACCCGTCCGTAAAGATATGGACTTCAGGCCTGGTGGTTTCTTCACGGGGCCCCGCCATCAAAGAGGTCCAATGAACCGCTCCAAGCAGTGCCGCCGCTGTTGCCGGCTTCCACGGGAACTTCGCCACATCAAACTGTAGCCATGAGGGGGGCCAGACCTTGAAGATGTCCGCAAAGAGCTGCGGCTGGGGCTGCAACTGCACCACTTCCCGGTCAATCTCGAAGACCGGTGCTGGGCAATGCGCAGCCAAGTGAAGCTGTAGTGGCTGACTTCCATCGCCGCTTCGTCTCCTCGGGGATCTGCTACGGTTGACCGGTCTGGGGCTCGGTGGTCCATACGGCCCACCACTTGGGCTAGGGCCGCTACTGAAGTCACTGGAGTGCGGGAGCGGGTCCGTATAGCTTGAGGACGAACTCGACCCCCCGTCATTGCTATCGTTGTCCGTGTCATCATCATGGGGCGAGGCCTCGGGAGGGATCAGGGTGAACGTGAGGACCTCTTGATGACGGACTTCAAGCTGGTCGGGTCCTCGGGGAACACCGCCAATCACCGAAATTGTCCAGTCTTGAACCCCTTGCATTTGAAGACTGTCAATGTAGTCGCTCGGCGTGAAGTAAGGCTCATCCACTTGAACCCATTGAGGAAAGAACCCAAGTTGTCTGAGATCCAGGAAGACCACAGTAGCCTGCCGTCCTCGGTCCTCGCTCGCCGGGATGACTGCAACTTGCTCCCATATGTTCCTCCCACCGTGTGCCAGTCGTGGCACCCGTTCATTCGGCAGGTATACACTGCACTCGTAGTCGACCGAGAGCGCCTCCGCAGCCGACTCTTCCAGGGGGTGCATGTCGTTCTCGTCGATCTCCTCAATTACCTGGTCACTTGCTGACTGATACACAGTGTGAAGTGCCGGGTGGGCCCCCGGCGGATCGGGGTGTGGCAGCCATCGATCTGGTTGCCGTAGTCTCGGGGCCAGTTCATCAGCCCATTCACAAACTGCGCCTGCCGGGACGATCTTGATCACCCCTCCTGTCACAGGCTGGATGGCCTGTCCAATCTCCAGCGGCTGGTGCTCGCCAAAGTAGTAGATGTCGAATGCCACATCTTCATAGTCAGGGAGGTTGCTGACAATGGTTTGTCGATTGAGCGGTGCCTCCGCGAAAAAGGCAAACACGGTTCCCTCCATCGACCTGGTGTCCATGATCAACGCAAACTTGCCGGCATCCTCGAGCCACACCGGTTGCGCGACAAAGCTGGCATAATGTCCATCAATTTGTGGGACAGTAGCCACAAAGTCGTCAAAGGCATCGGGGATAACAGAGAGCGTTCCTCGCATGGCATCTCTGAGGGAGGGTAGCCGCAGTGGTAGCGGGACTTCCACGTCCAGCACCTCCGTTTCATAGTACGGAGCTGCCACCCACATCGTCACGTGGCGGCTCAAGTCATCCATAGCCGGCACCTCCGCTGGGCCAGCCTGTTCAACAACGGGGACCGTCCATCGCGGGACATCGGCTTCTCCCGGGGTCCGTTCAAGCGGGAGGTTTAAGATGTGGCGGTTCCACGCCGTGGCAAGTTGTTCCCGCATCGTCGTTTGCCCCGAGGCCCAAACTTGAAGATCATTATCCCTGGCGGGGCCAAGGGGCCTGCATCTCGGTGGCGTTTTCGTGGCATCCGCTACCTCGCCAGCCTTGAACAGCAGGCAAACGCTGCAGACTCTGCCAGGCATACCTCCAAGAAGGGATATCCGTCTCAATTTCCTCGGACCAGGGGAGCCACTAAGCGCGAAGAGCAATGTGGCCAAGAACATGACGAGGCTGAGGGTCCCAATCCATGCCATACTGGCCACCCGCAGCGAAGTCAACCATTCAAGGAGGGCTGGCTCAATCCGATCCCACCATATCAGCCCCATGTCAAAGCAGTCGAAAATCACCCATGCTCCAGGCCTTTCCGCGTAGCGGCCATTTCCCGGGTGGGGTGCATCGCTGCTGAACCACAAAACTGAGCGAGGCTGGCTTTATAGTAGTGCTGCCGTTGTTCGCGCCGCCATCTTTCACCCTAGGCCAGCAAGGGGCAACCGTTTTGAAATCAGCCCCTTTCATAATGGCCTGTGGAGCAGCAGGGCCTACTCCACCACTTGCTCCTGGTCTCCGCCAGACTTGGCCAAGCTGCCAACCATTTCGCCCTCGCCTTCGTCGGTGCTGATCGCGGCCACCTCGTCCGGCAGCTCTGTGACCGTTGCCACACGTCTTCTGCTCTCGAGCCTCTTGGCAAGTGCAGATCCCGGTCTTGGGCTGGGCGCCGGCGCCCTTCCGACAAGCTTGATCGGCGTTCTCGGCATGCTCTTTCTCACCCTCGAGGTTGAGCGCTGTCCTGGGGATGGCATGAGCGAGCTCCTTAGAGGGGGATGTCTGGTAGGGCCCCCCATTGTGCAAGTCGGCGGCCTCTGCTTCTTGCTTCTTTCGTCTCCGTACCAGACCACTGGCTGCCTCCATGAAGTCGTCGAGCGATGTCAAACTGGACCGTCGACGTCGCCCGTCGTCCTCCTTGGGAGGTGTGTCCGCCTCTTCCTTGGCCCGGGGGCGTCGTGGCGTTCGAGGTTCTCCGGCGAGATAGTGGCGAAGGCTCCTGCCCAGCTTCTCCGCGACCGCCTCCGTCATCTCGGCGTCGGGTTCGTCGTCGCACTCCGCAATCAATCTCATCCAGTCGTCCATCTCCTCCTCGGTTGGCCGTTGGGGCTCTTTGTTCTTCTTGGCAACCGGGTTGTCGAAGGCATCCTTGAGGTCCGCAAGGGCTTCGTGCTGGGCGTCGTGGAGCTTGTCGAGCTCGTCCTGGTTCTGCTGCAGGTCCTTCTTGAACTTGGCCCTTTCCTTCACAAAGGACGCCTGGAGCTCCTCCTGGTACTTTTGCCATCTGCCCAGGATCTGCTCCCTCTCCTCTTCCGCCTTTCTTACCTTGACCTCCGCCTTGCGGGCGATCGTCACAAAGCGTTGGATGCCCCGTACCAAGTCGCCTGGCATGGTCACCTCCTTGTCGTTGCTGCCACTGGCCTCCTTCGGCGTTGGCACTTCCAGCTCCATCATGGTGTAGGAGGGGAAGCGTTGTCTGTCCTCTGGCTTTCTGGGTCCCCGGGGCTTGTTCTCGCGGTGCTCTTGGTAGTCCCAGTACTGGCCAGCTGCCGCTTGCTGCCAGCCAGAGGATGCTCGCTGCCCACGCCACCTTTCGTCCCAGCTTCCCCATTGCTGAGTCTTGCGGCCCATTCGGGCTTCGCGGTACCGTGGTCTGCTGTGGTGGCTTTGCAGCAGGGCAATGTCCTTGAAGGCTGGGGTGGTTCCAGCTTGCCTGGCAGCTTTTATACGCCGCCTTGCCGTCGATCTCCGTTTTCTCCACCGGCGATGCCACGTAGGGGAGCGAATGGCGGCACCGGTCACGCGTGCACTCGGCACGTGGGGTAGCTGGCAATGCTGCTACAGGCAGCTCGATCCAGAACCCTATATATATATATGTATATATATATATATATGTATAACCAATCCCTAAGCCCTAAACGTTCCCGGCTTGCCTGAAGGAGCAGGAACGCAGGTTGCAGCCGAGGAAAGCAGAGGACTGGCCAGAACATGGGCGGGGGGTTCTATGTCTAAGGGTTAACGACTTTTATAAGGGGCCCTAAACCCAAAACCCTAAACCCTAAACGGCCCTAAACCCTTGTAGGATTCTGTAATGAAGGGTTCCCGTCTTGACAGGCTTTTATAAGGGTTCCTTTGAACCTTGTACGCGGGCTGCCTGAAAGGATTCTATAGGCTCCTTTAAAGGATTCTATGAGGGGGCTAGCATGAGAGTCACGATTATATATACGGTTTCAGCAGAGGACCCTCATAAGCCTCGAGAGGGTTCTAAAGTAATTATAGAAGAGGGTTCTTACACTAGACTAATATAGGGGCTCTCAAGGAAGACAATTATACTAGTCATGTTATCCCTGTACATGTTATCCCTCTACATGGGTCCGGTGCCAGTCCCGGGCGTGAGCTTTCAAGAAAGACGTGGATCCCTGGCTAAAGTACCCCACTCTTTGCATAACGACCTTGAGCGGGCCCTTAACCCTGAACCAGCCCTAAAGCCCTAAATCCTAAACCCCAAACCCTAGATTACCCCAAAGCTCAAACCACAACTGGGGAGTGGGAACGGTGCACGGATCTTTTGAGGAGCCGCTGCGTCGCGACTGCAGGCGCGCCAATCCTCTGCCGACACAGGCCTCGCCGCTCGACGCAGATGACTGGCTCCTCAGGGTTGCTGTAAGGCATGCTCGAATGACGCTAAGCGTTAGTCTTAGGTTGTATTACATGGGCTGCTGGGAAGGGTCATACGGAGGATACTTAGAGGCTTACTGGCTTACTACAGGAGCCTTTGTCATGGTTATTCTAAGGGTTGCTATGAGGGATACTAGGGTTAGTATAAGCCCTACACTCCATACCTCCTAACCTTACCCTAAACCCTAAACCCTAAACCCTAAACCCTAAACCCCTAAAACCCTAAACCCTAAACCCTAAATCGCCACCCAGAAAGCCTGAACCCTGAATGAACCGCAAAACCCTACGACGTACGACCTTTTTCAGGGCTCTAGAGCCTCCACGCCCCGAACGCCCTAAGCCTCTGACGCTTTTAGGGTTTAGAGTTTAGGTTTCGGGTTTAGAGCTCAGAGTTAGGGTTTCTAAACCTCTAAACTCCTACAAGTCCTTAGAAGTTAAGCCCCCAGCCCGAAACCCCTCAATCTCTAAACTCATAAACCCCTTGACCTCAAATCCCTAAACCCTAAACCCTAAACCCTAAAATAGCCCAGGACTACATCCCATGGTCTGCCGGGCTCCTCTTCGGTGCCTTAGACAGCCAATGGGAGAACTTTAAACGTTTTGGCCTTGTATAGTAGGTCTATCCTAAAAACTTGAAGCTTTTTTGGGCCGATCTATCCTAAAAAGTTGAAACTTTTTTTGGGCCGATCTATCCCAAAAACTTGAAACTTTTTCGGGCCGATCTATCCCAAAAAGTTGAAACTTTTTTGGGGCCTGGTTGTTGAAGAAGAGAGGTGCAGGGTTCCTCTTCATGCTGGGCTTTGCCTCCTTCGAGAGTGTCACAGGCTACTACCTCATGGCATCCCGGCTACGGGAAGAGAGGTTGGTTTAGGACTTTGTGATTTAGGGGTTTGGGGTTTAGGGTTTAGTGATCTGATCAGGGATTAGGGACCTCGTCTTTTTGCAGGTGTAGAGTTTAGGGCTCCCAGCACATGAGTGTTAGCCTCGCACTGGCCATGCATTGCCATGGCAAGCCCTACATCCTGAGCCATCCTGAACCCATACATAAATAAACCTTAAACCCTCTATGAACACATAAATAAACCTTAAACCCCATAAGAATCCCGTGTAGAACCCGTACAAGAGCCCTTATTATAGGAACCCTCAAAGCAGCCCTACCCACTCAGGACATGTACTACCCAGGCGACCAAGTTGCCAGCGGCCAGTTCTATGGAGCGTTATTTACCATTGCCGGAGTGACAATGTTCCTAGTCGCTGCTCCCTGGCTTAAAGTAGAGCCCGCGTTTAGTGAACAGCCGTTCAATAAGGAGATGTTGGCGGGATAGTGGAGCCCAAATCGGATCCCTCCCCTCAAAGCCTAAGTACTATAGAGTCAGGTGCGCTTCTAAGCCCCATTGGCTCTGTCGGTGCGCCCTCTCACTGTTCACTAGCCCTCAGGTCTTTGTGTACAAGCCTATGTTGAAGTGTTTCGGCGAGAACCTCACCATTGTCATCGGCGGTGTCTTCCGAACATTGGGCTTCGTTGGAAGCTCGTCCGGCCATGTCTTGCTGAAGACAGTGGTCACTTGAAGGTCCTTATTATATGCTTGCCAACGTCGCAAGGAGCTTCAAGTCAAAAGAATCCAGTGAAACTTTCGATTGACTAGCGCTCAATAGCGATAGATGCAGTGAGGGCGGCAGTCAACACCACTTCTGACAATGAGCTCTGAACCCTAAGCCCTGGTGGGTGGGTTGCAAGGTTCAGCTTGTCATTTTAGTCCGCCACCCCAGCTTATCGCGAAGATCAGGAATGGCTTTAGCTCCCTCTCCATTTTGGTTCGCGGTCTGTGTGGCTGAGCTGAAGTCATTGACAGACACGTCTGCTTCTTGTGCTTGGGGTTTAGGGTTTAAAGATTCTCTAGGGCTTATAGGGTTTATAGGATTTTGTAGCGCCTTTCCGCGTTCTTGTGGGCTGTGCTAGGGGTCGTAAGAAGTGGCATGTTGCATGGCTGTTGAGGCGGTCTTCCAAGTTTCCGGAGGCACCTTGGCTGCGAACACGAAGTAAGATATGTGTCAGGATGTATGGCTGGTGACGGTGGATAGGAAAGGCTTTGTGTTGGTTACCCCAGATACCCCAGATCAGGCAACCTCATCTCGCCGACCACGTCGTCGCTCCTGACCACGATCTGCTCGAAAAACATCTACGGCAGGGCTCTGGGATACCAGCAGGCGAGGACTCTTAGAACACAGACAGATTTAGGGTGCAGGCACTTTTCTGGTACAGATTTCGGGGTGCTGTGTGCGCTGCAGCCTTCGCAGGCCTTTCAAGCAATCGCACGCATCTTCGCGCCCATGATCTTCGGTTATTTGTACGATCATGCTACTTGGCAGCACCTCCCTTCTCTTGAACAATCTCAGCAGCTATCTGGCTATCACTCTTGCTGGTTTCGGGTTTAGGGGTTGACGGTTTCAGGTGTAGTATAGGGGCCTAAATAACTACCTATACTATTTTGCGGGTTCCTTGTTATAATTCTGGTATAATGGACCCCGAAACCCTATTCTAATATCAAGGCCCCTACATTAGGAGCTATCTGGCGACTCTGGCAGTGGTGCCATGTTCACACACCTGGCGCGCACGCGCGTGTGTGACGGATGTCGACTGCACATTACCAGGCTTAGAGGTTAGTTGTACCTAAACCTACCAGAAGTTACTCTTTGTAGGGTCACTATAAATTCTATACTAGGGTTCACCGTAAGAGCCTACAAAATCAAACAAAAGCAGTAGGTTTTGGAGGATAGCAAACCCTCAAAACTAAACCAGAGTCGTCGAAGCAGACTTTTGGCTGTTTTTTTGAGTCCAGGGACCTTGCGCGTAAACGCATACCCGTTTCTTGTGATCGGACAGCCAAGTACGACAAGCGCATCACCTTCTGGGCTGCTTGGCCAATCACAAATGGCAGAAAGCGTTGGTTGGTTGGTAGCACTGTTTGCCAGACCGTTCGTATACTCGTTTATGTAGAAATAATATACAGATATAGAGATATGTGTATGTACATTGGTTTGCTGCTCTAGACAGCTCCACAGTCGGTCTTCGAACGATGCTTTAGTCAACTTTAGTGTGTTTTTGATGGGTAAACCAAAAAAGGGACTGCAATGGAGACTATAGGTACACTCTTAACGCTGAACCCCAAATTTGGCCCTGAACCCTTCCATCGTAGTTGCGCCCTTCTGCAGAGCAGGCATAGACTCCGAAGCATGGCCCTCCTGCAAGTCGGAGCTCACTCCCTTGGCATTTGTCCCGTAGGTCTTAGTTTAGGGTTTAGGGTTTAGGGTTTAGGGTAGAGCCCTAAGTATAATGAGCTCCTACCCTAAACTCCTCAACCCTACATCCGGATCCGCAATTTTCTTGACTTCCGGAACCGAGGGTTTTGTTCCATTCTATAAACAAACCGAAAGCCCCGGAAGACCAATACCCACAACTCCAAAAACGAAACCCTTGACAGCCGAAACGCTTGAACCGGCAACTCGTGAATCCTAACTTCTACAACCCTTCAGGGGTTAGGGTTTAGGTTCGATACCCCTGCATGATTCAGGGCTCAGCGTTTAATATAGGGGCCTTAATAATTAAAATAGGGTTTTGGGGGTTCCTTATTATAAGTATAGTCTAGCGGGCCCCAAAGCCCCATTCTTATTATGAAGGCCCCTACCCATAGGCCCTAAAGTAGTTCCTTTTTGTGGTTTGTATTTAGGATCCTATTAGGTAATCCCAAAAAGGAACTACTATGGGGCCTATGGGAACCCTAAATCCTAAACCCTAAATCCTAAAGCCTAAACCCTAAACCCCAAACCCCAAAATACATTCGCCTGGACTGCACAGATCAACGCCGGCACCAACGTTTTGGCCGTGCCGATGATCATCTGCGTGCCACGGCCGAGAGAAGAGCCGACCTTCGAGGCGCTGTCATAGGGTTTAGGGCTTATTTTTATAGGGCAAAATAGGGTTTGGGGTTCATATTAAAGGGTTTAGGGTTCATATTGAAGGGTTTAGGGCTTATTTTTGTAGGGTTTGGGGTTCAGATTAAAGGGTTTAGAGCTTATATTGTAGGGTTTGGGGCTCATATTAAAGGGTTTAGGGCTGATATTATAGGGTTTGGGGTTCATATTACAAGGTTTAGGGCTTATATTGTAGGGCTTGGGGTTCATATTAAAGGGTTTAGGGCTGATATTATAGGGTTTAGGGCTTCGGGATTAGGGTTTAGGGTGTAAGGTTTAGGGTTTAAGATAGGGGCCTTAATAATTAGAATAAAGGTTTGGGGGTCTATTGTACTATAGTCATAATCAGGAACCCCCAAAACCTTATTCCAATTATTAAGGCCCCTACAGTACGGTTTAGGGCTTCAGGGGTAGGGTTTAGGGTTTACCAGTGGCCCAAAAGACCTACCTTTTAAGGGACTATATATACAAATCCATACTAAGGAACCCTTAAATGAAAAGGTGTTTCTTTTCAGCTACAGGTAGGGCTTCAGGGATTAGGGGTGTAGGGTTTAGGGCCTAAGGATTTAAGGGTAGGGTTCAGTTTTGGGGGTTTCTTGCGGGGTTTAGGGGTTTCTGGCTATGGGTGTAGGGTGTAAGGATTTAGTGCTGCTTTTGGCTAAACCCTAGACCTTAAACCCTAAACCCAAATCCGAGCCCTAAACCCTAAACCCTAAACCCAAGTCTAAACCCTAAGCCCTAAACCCTAAATGTGGTTAGTCAGGGTGATGGAGAGTTCGGATTTGGGTTCCACGGAGCCCTGTTTAGATGGGGCTGCCGAGCGTGGTGATGTGGTTGGGGTTTGATTTAGGGTTTAGGGGTTTAGGTTTTAGTTTGTTTAGGGCTTCGTGGGTCCATTTTGCAGCTTTAGTCTTTCCCTTGCGTGCTGCGTGGAAGGGTTGAAGTTCGAGTTCAGGGGCTTAGGTGGATGCTTTAGGTAACGTTGGGGCGTTGCCTAGACGGATTTGGGGTTTATTTATACGGTTTAAAGTTTAGGGTTTGGGGTTTATATGGCTTAAAGTTTTAGGGTTTGGGGTTTATACGGTTTAAAGTTTAGGGTTAGACGGGTAGTTCTGCAGGTTGTGGACGCCAACGTTTCCTGCATGGAGCGTCAGCAACTTGGCTGGAGCTGATTCCCGAGAAGTTTGGGCACAGCGCCCAAGTAAGAGTAGTATTCTCCTATGGACGATTTTCGGTTCGGCTTTTACAGTGCAGCCTCAACACCCACCGAGGGGAGAGTGATATACAAACCGTCATCGTGGGGAGAGTGATCCACAAACCGTCATCAACCTGAAAACAATTCTGAACCCCTGAATCCTGCACTCGTAAAACCTTCAAACCTCTCAGCCTAAGCCGAAACCACCCCACATCCCAAATCCGCAAGCCCTGAGCCATGTCAAGCAAGGAACATACTCAACTCAACAGACCGGCAATTGAGGACCTCCGTCCCGCCCTCCCTCGACGGCAGAGAGCACCACCCGACCTTGCGGCGGCAGCTGTCCGGCAAGGGGTCAGGCCGGGGCACCGCTAAGAGTATCGTGAAGATGTGCAGATCTCAAATCGGAAGAATCTAAGAAGCCTGTATGCTGGGTTTGAGCTAGGAGCATGTTCTTGGCCATTGCAGTGCATCGATATTGATGCCATTGCAGCTCCACCAGTCAACCCACAAAGCCGTATCCGCTTAACACCTCAGAACAGGCCCGACAGCCTTGGCATCCCAATCCCTGAAACGGCTGAGGCCCTGATGCTAGACTGCTAGACCCCTAGTATAGAACCAGAATCTAACCTAAGCCTAAATCCTAAACCCTAAACCCTAGCTTGAAGCCCGAGCTGACAAGAATTTACAACCAAACTTCTCAACTCCTCACCCCCCAAATCTTTGAAACAAGCCCAAGCCCCTCTCCCCCAAGCCCTAGACCCTAAATCCCAGACCCCAAGCCCTAAAGCTCTGAACCTTGTTCCCTACAGCCCCATACCCTTTAGCCCCTTAAGGGGCTCCTGTAAGGGCTCCTGTGAAAGGGGTCCTTTAAAGGGAACCCGTCAAGGAGCCCTAAACCTTAAATCCTAAACCCTGAACCCCAAAACCTTTAAACCTAAACCCTAAAACCCTCAAATCCCAAACCCTAAACCTTAAATCCTAAACCCTAAACCCTAAAACCCTCAAACCCTGAAGCCCTCTAAATCCTAAAACCCTCAAAATCCACCCTAAAATCACGCGCGGCAGCACTCGAATCCCCAGCTCGGGGCACCAACATGCAGACTGCCCCTCGCTCCTTCATGGGGGTTTAGTGTTTGGGGTTTAGGGTTCAGGGTTTTAGGGTTTTTGGTTTAGGGTTTAGTGTTTGGGGTTTAGGGCTCAGGGTTTAGGTTTTTTGGTTTAGGGTTTAGGGCTTGGTGTTTGGGGTTTAGGGTTTAGGGTTTGGGGTTTAGGGTTCAGGGTTTTTGGTTTAGGGTTTAGGAGTTTAAAGTTTAGGGGTTTTGGTTTAGGGCTTAGAGAACCTTTTCACATTGTGTGGCCTAGGTTACCTTAAACCCTAAACCGAAATTAAGCCCGAAACATCCTTAAAGCCTGAACCCCTACTGTAAACCCTAAACCCGTGAACCTTGAAAAGAAGCCCCGAAACACAAAGCCCTGAACCCAAACCCTAAACTCTAAACCCTAAACCCTAAAGCTTTTAAACCCTAAAGCCCAGAGCCCCACCAAGGTCCAAGAGGCTGAGTCAAGAACGGCATCCCATGAGCCGCAGACATGAGTTCGGGGTTGCAAACAGGGGTTCTGACAGGGTTCAGGATTTAGGGATTAGGGTTTGGGGTTCAGGATTTAGGCGTATTTTGAACAAGTACGCATTTTCAACATGCTCATATTATGTACCAGCAACTACTCCTCAGACTAGTTGTTTCGAGAGTTTCGGTCGGCGTGCTAGCAACCATGCCCGCACCCACAGAAGAATATGGTCAAGAATTTAGGGTTAACATTTGGAGTTTCCGCTTGCAGCGGCTTGCCTACTCCAGTCCGGAACGTCTCACCTTTGGCAGCTCATAGTCTGAGTCTGAGGACGTGGACAACAGGAGCATTGTAGCCGACTTGATAACCCTAAATCGCAAATCGAAACTGCAAAGCGTCAAGCACCCCTCCAAAAAAAGACACAGACCTCAACCCCAAAACATCCCAACCCTTATCCAACCAGCCGCCACCCTCACGGTTTCAAACCACCCGAATGGGCTTCAGCTGCTCCGCAACAGACCGGAGCTGTTCAGATCGGTTTCAAAAGCGCCGTGGCAAGTCGTGATGCTTTGATTCACCTTCACCCAAGGACCGGAAGCCATCCAACCCCAAAGGGTTAAGAGTCTAGTGTTTGGTGCTTAGGATTTAGGTTTGGGTCTAGTCTAGTGTTTAGGGTCTAGGGTTTAGGGTGTAGGGTAGCCTACGCCCCAGACCCGAAACTTTGAAGGCTTCCACACTGCTTCAGAATTGCAACGAAGAAACAGATGATGGTTTCTGTAGGTTTCATTGATATCGAGAAGCCTGCGTACTGAGCAATACTATTCCCGTGAGGGTTCCTTACAAAAATTGGACTACACCCCGTCCTCATAGAACCCATAGCAGAATCCCTGGAAGAACTCTGTTTGAATTCCTAAGGCCCTTGCATGATACCGTCAACAACCCAAATTCTAACATTAGGCGTCGTTTAACCCTAAACCCTAAACCCTAAACCCAAAACCGTAAACCAAACCCTAAACCCTAAACCCTAAACTCTACACCCTAAACCCAAAACTCTAAACCCTAAACCCTAAACCCTAAACTCTAAACCCTAAACCCTAAACCCTGAACCTTAGGATAGATGTCCGAGTCAGGGTTCGGCTCGAGTGGGTATGGAGGGGCCGAAGCCCTAAAGCCTATGGGGTTTAGGGTTTAGGGTTTAGGGTTCAGGGTTCAGGGTTTAGGGTTTAGGGTTTAGGGTTTAGGGTTTAGGGTTTAGTATAGTAAGCCCCAAAAAGTTGGAAACCGGATAAAGGACAAATAGTGCTGGGATTCCCTATACATTACTCTTCGGGATTGAGGCTATTGGGTTTCCAACTTTTGGGCTTCTACTATAAGCTCTCTTGGGTTTGGGGTACGGGTTTCAGTGCGTAGTGCTCCGAGTTCAGGGGTTACCTTGTCCTTTATTGTTCGTTCTTCTTCTCTGGCGAAGTCTCACGGCGATTGGGTTTTGTCTTTCCCGACGTGAGAAGCAGAAGCCTCCTCCTCCTTGTTGGTCGCACTCTGTGTGTCGTTTCTTACTCTTTCTGGACATGCCCATCCTTCGGTGTTCCGGATAGGTCGTATGCTCGACGGCCACAGGAAGCCCTCTGACACCCTAAACCCTAAACCC